GCGGAGACCTTGGCATTCTGACCATGGCCTACCAAAACTGGCTCTTGGGACATGGAATGTCACCTCTCTAATGGGGAAGGAGCCTGAGCTTGTGCATGAGGTTGAGAGGTACCAGCCAGATATAATTGGGCTCACCTCAATGCACAGCATGGGCTCTGGAACCAATCTCCTCGAGAGGGGCTGGACTTTATTCTACTCTGGAGTTGCCCATGGTGAGAGGCGCCGAGCTGGTGTGGGTCTGTTTTTGTTGCCTGTGCATTGGAGTTTACCCCGGTAAATAAGAGGGTAGCTTCCCTGCACCTTCGGATGGGGAAGATGGGCTCTGACGGTCATTTGTGCTTATGCACCAAATGATTGTTCAGAGTACCCAACCATCTTGGAGTCCTTAGCGGGGGTGCTGGAATGTGCTCCAGCTGGGGATTCCTTTATTCTGCTGGAGGACATTAATGCCCACATGGGTAATGACAGTGTGACCTGGAGAGACATGATTGGGAGGAACGGCCTCTCCGATCTGAACCTGAGCGGTATTCTGTTGTTAGACTTCTGTGCTAGTCAAAGATTGTCTATCACAAACACCATGTTCCAACATAAGTGCATGTGGCACTAGGACACCCTAGGTCACAGATCGATGATTGACTTTGTAGTCGTGTCATCTGATCTGCGGCCACATGTTTTGGAAACTCGGGTGAAGAGAGGAGCTGAACTGTCAACTGATCACTACCTGGTACGGAGTTGGATCAGATGGTGGGGGAAGATTCCGGACAGACCCGGTAAACCCAAGCGTGTAGAGAGGCTTTGCTGGGAATGCCTGGCAGAGGAAACCGTCAGACAGATCTTCAACTCACACCTCCRAGAGAACTTCAACCACAWCCCAGCCAAGGCAGAGGACACTGAGTCTGAGTGGGCCATGTTCTGCACCTCAATTGTTGAAGCTGCTGCCTTGAGCTGCAGCTGCAAGGTTGTTGGTGCTTTTCAYGTTGGCCATCCTCGAACTCGGTGGTGGACACCCTGAGTAAGGGAGTCTGTCAAGCTCAAAAATTAGTACTATCTGGCCTTGTTGGCTGGTAGGAGTCCGGAGGCAGCTGAAGAGTATTGGCAAGCCACAGCCCTGAYCCTTTCTGAAGCAAGAGTTCAGTTGTGGGAGGAGTTCRGTKAGGCCTTGGACAAAGACTCTCGATTGGCTCCGAGGAAATTCTGGCAAACCATCCGGCGGCTGAGGCAGGGGAAGCAGCACTTCACTAACACTGTGCTCAGTGAAGGTGGAGTGCTGTTGACCTCAACCATTGATGTCAGCAGGAGGTGGAAGGAATACTTCTTGGACCTTCTCAATCCCACCTTCTTTGGARGAAGCAGAGTCTRAGGACTTTGAGACTGGTCGGTCCATRAAGCAGGCAGTATGKTCGCTCAGTGGCCGACCGGTCAACGCGCCRTCACGTGGTTGTTCGGCGTTCGTTTTYGCACAGACCTTTCATAGTTCCTGAGACACCCTGAGCCGAGCTCCTGGGAAACCCCTCCYGCTGCAGCGTAAGTCACTGCATGGGATTTCTTCCCAGGGGAGTCCAATGTGTAAAAACAGTCAGAGACTCATCAGTCAATGTTGTTTATCCACAAAGTGGTCCAGGATTAAGCTCCAAAGTTTTTGTCAGTCAGATTCCACTGTGAAAAATGTCTGTTTTATCCCCTTATATGAGTTTTTGGCCATTTGACTGTCTTTATAATCCGCTGCTTCCTGGTACAACAGTTGGCTCTGGAAGCAGTCACCTTTTTCTTTTTTTTTCTTTCTGTTTTTAAGCAAGTGGTTGAAGCAAATGCAGCATCTGAGCACGTTCCACTCCCACAAACTTCTGACCAATCACACCATATAGTTCGTATGTGTTCTTATGTGGAGGGGGGTGAAAAGTTCGACCCCTGGGTTGCAACAAGAAGTGCTGAAATGTCGACAATGCGAACAGAGGTGACGCAATTTTCGTCAAGAAACTGCGACAGTTCGGCATGATTTCAGCAGTTTGGCAGCAGCATGCTGGAGCCTTAACTGGAGCCGAGGTCGCTGAGGTAGTTAAAAAGCTCCACGGCAGCAGGACTCCAGGGGTGGATGAGATCTGCCCTGATTTCCTCAAGGCTCTAGATGTTGTGGGGCTGTCCTGGTTGACACGCTTTTGCAACATTGCGTSGACATTGGGGGCAGTGCCACTGGATTGGCAGATTGGGGTGGTGGTTCCTCTCTTTAAAAAGGGGGACTGGAGGGTGTGCTCCAATTACAGGGGCATCACTCTCCTTAGCCTCCCCGTAAGGTCTTTTCAGGGTTACTGGAGAAGAGAGTCCAATCAATAGTCAAACCTCAGATTCAGGAGRAACAATGTGGGTTCTGTCCTGGCTGTGGAACACTGGACTAACTCTTTAGCCTCRCTAGGGTTCTTGAGGGGTMATGGGAGTTTGCTAATCCAGTCTACATGTATTTTGTGGACTTGAAAAAGGCATTTGACCATGTTCCTCGAGGTACACTGTGRGGGGTGCTATGCGACTAGGGGATTGTGGCCCTATTGTTACGGGCCATTCAGTCTCTATACAAGCAKTGCATGAGTTCAGTTCACATTGCCGGTAATAAGTTGGACACTTCAGAGTGGGAGTTGTACTCCRCCAGGGCTGCCCATTGTCACAGATTCTGTTCATAACTTACATGGACAGAATTTCTTGGTGCAGCCAGGGAGTGGTTCGGTGGCCTCAGGATTTCATYTCTGCTGTTTGCAGATGAAGTGGTTCTGTTGGCGTYATCACCAGGATCTTCAGCTTACAGTTGAGTGTGAAGTGACTGGGATGAGGATCAGCACCTCCAGATCTGAGTCCATGGTCCTYAGTCAGAAAAGGGTGGATTGCCCTCTCCTGGTTGGGGGTGAAGTTCTGCCTGAAGTGGACGAGTTCAAGTATCTTGGGGTCTTGTTCACAAGTGAGAGAWGAATGGAGCGTGAGATTGATAGACGGATCGKTGCAGCTTCTGCAGTTTTGCTGACTCTGTACTGACCAGTCTGTTGTGGTAAAGAGGGAGCTGAGCTGTAAGAAAAAAGCTCTGTTTACAGATCAGTCTGTGTTCCTACACTCACCTTTGTTCACGAACTTTGGGTAGTGACCAAAAAAAACAAAACAGGATCACGTATACAAGCAGTCGAAATGAGTTTTCTCCACAGGGTAGCTGGACTCTCCCTTAGAGATAGGGTAAGAAGTTCAGTTATCCGGGAGAGACTCAGAGTACAGCCACTGCTCCGATCCACATCGAGAGAGGAGCCAGTTGAGGTGGTTTGGGCATATAGTAAAGATATCTCCTGGATGCCTCCCTATGGAGGTGCTTCAGGCATTTCCAACTGGGAGGAGACCCCGAGGAAGACCTAGGGCATGCTGGAGAGACTATGTCTCTCGGATGGCCTGGGAATGCCTTGGAGTCCTCCCAGAAGAGCTGGAAGAGGTGGCTGGGTAAAGTGAGGTCTGGGCTTCCCTGCTCAAGCTGCTGCCCCCGCRACCTGACTTCGGATAAAGTGGAAGATAATGGATGGATGGGTTGCAGCTGTTGTAATAGCACCATTTTCTTTCTGGGTCTTGCCTCTGTACAACCCCCATCATTTCTGTTCAATGGGAGCAACAACTGTCACCCATGTGGCTTTGTTTATAAATTATAGTCTGCTTGCAAAAAAGCACAGTGTAAATGCAAACCTCTCCAAACAATAAAATAAAGTCAGCTATTGGTCTGGACCAAACAAGTAGATTAAAGGACTTTCTTGGTGAAAATGTACCCCAAAAACTAACTATTTTATTGCCATTTATTTTGKAACAGCTACTCAATTGTTACAGCTTCTTGAGTTCTGTTGACTTCAAAGATGAATGAATTGTAGATGTATGTTCAATGATTATTTTGAGTTTTATTAGAATCCATTGACTGGTTCATGAGACACTTTTACAACATGAAAAAAGTGCTCACACAAACGTGGTCAAAAACATTGTTGCCTTTTKGCTTTTGGCAGGAAGTGAAAAGGGTTTTTGACTGTCCATGTTGGGAGGAGAAAACCATTTKGGAGCTTTTGTTAAAGTAAGTTCAGTGGTCACTGAAGTTAGCTGAAGGGTAAATGGTCTGGTTCCACACAATAAGTGTGCCAGTGACATGTAAGTCTGGAACACTGCTGATGGGAGATTGTTATGGTATAATGTTGAGCAAAAACACCACAGTATAATGTATTTAAAATAAAACAAACTTTAAATGTATTATCATATTTAAATGCATGCATCAAAATTTAGAAAAGAAAGTACTTGCATTGCTGCTGCCTAAATATTACATGCTACTATAAAATTATATTCTTGTTGTCTTAATAATAATATTGATGCATAAAACTCATAAGAAGACGGAGAGAACACAAATATGTAAGAAAATTTAGTGTTCGTTAACTGAAATCGTGATGAAACCACATGAATGTTGAATAGATTAAAATGTGAAGAGAATGGACCATACAACACCAGTTACTGRAGTGAACGGTGGTTTAATGCTGTCTGTTCAGGCATGAAGCTCCAAGAAAACCTGAAGTCCCGGCTTATAAATACATGGCTCTTCAGTGCCTGGTACACCCACTACTGGCCTACGGCTGAATTGCAGACATTCATACAAAAAAACCTTTCATGATGTGTCATCAATGGTTTTTATYATGTGTTGTCATTTTGTTTCAGGCCTGTAACTAAAGTTGTTTTAATCAAGACATAACAATAGTCAAACAATAGATTATAAGAATCAATACTTAAAAAGGAAAACTATGAAATGGTGTGATGCTTTTAAAATCAGTTTCTAAATGACTAATACATTTCTTCAAATATGTCAAAAAACGGACAGTTTGATATTGGCTATTTAGCTAAAAAACCTGCAGTAAAATGCATATTTGACTGATTGCTAACTTTTGTAGCTTGTCAGAAACATTTGTTTCAAAATAAGCAATATCTGAAAAAAGTAGCTAGATGTGACCACGGGGAGATTTTTTTTAAATAATATGTTTACCTCAAAACTTTAAACAGATTATACAATCTATTTTTGGAGAGAAAAGATTAGGCTACTGGCCATCATACAGCTGACTGACCAGCTAAAGCTACACACAGGAGGGGGAGAGCTGCCCTATATGCTACCAGAGAAAACCCTTCTTCTTATCTGCTTTCTCATTAAAAATGATTTAATTCCCAGAAATAATTTCCAAGTCATAAAATAGTTTTGATACCAAGACTGTTTACATCATAATTTATGTAGAAAATAAAATGACAACGTTCATTTACCTAATCTGCAACCAGAAAATACTAATATTTTGTTTTATTTATTTATTCATTTATTTTTATGTATAGCATGAAAGTGAGTTTGAAAGTTGACTCAGCTGAAAAGGACAACTGTAACTTATGACCATTATTTCCACATTTATGGTGCATTGTTGACTTCATCCTCTGCTAAATATCCTCAATTAAATATATGAAGGAAAGCCTCATATAATGAATTCTGAGATGAAGATTCATTACTCATATTCACACAAACACCTTCAGAACAAAAGTAAACAACCCCCTAGAGCCCCCTAGTGGAATGGAGGAAGTCGATCCAATGCCGCACCTCTACCAAAGATGTGTTAAATCTACAAAAAAAAAACAACAACAAAAAAAACAAAAACAAAACAAGATTAACATAGTTTTAATTATTTAAATGGACTTGTTTTGTTGAGTTTCATTTTTATATATGCATACTATGTTTATAATTTCACAACCTCTGAGCAGACAAGGCTGTGGACCCCCACTGTCCACTCTGAGGCATGTTGGGAACCACTGCTGAACAGCACCATGATGCGCTCCACTCTGAGGACCTAGAAGCTGGAGCGCAGAGTCCAGTACGAGCTCACGCAGCCATGTCTACATAAAATACAAAACAGTTGAAAAGGAGTTGTCCCCACCCCTCAAAGTCCAATAGTTTGATTGTCCRTTTTGTTGCTCAGTTTGCGCATGTTATAAAAAAAGGATTCCAGGCAGCGGTAGACACAGGTTATGTTGATGAGTTAGCTGTGAAGTACAAGGAAGATAATAACTTCACAGCAAAGCAGAAGATTAAAAGCTCCTCAGGTGAAAAATTACATACTACCACAAAAAGAAAGTTGCAGAGGACATCTGCAGTTTCAGAAAATTGTGGTTATTTCAGCAAGCAATTAGTTAGAATCGAAGGAAAAAGCAGCAAATGACTGAGGCTGCAAACTCTGAACTGCAATTTGTCTGGTCTTTATGGTATATGCATGTACTTTACATTTTAATCTTTTTTGAAAATAAATTTCAAAGCAAACTGATGAAACAATGTTAAYGCTATATATATTACTCCCACGCAGGACCCAGTACCACCTGTACGGAGGACTCCTGCTACCATCAGGGGGTGTGTCTCCAGCAGTGGGAGGGCTTCACCTGTGACTGCACGATGACGTCCTATGGAGGCTCGTTTTGCAACGACCGTAAGTGAAATGTCATTTTCCTGGTTTGAATGTGTTTGGCTTGAGTGAGTGGTTTAGTGGACGTAGCTGAAGGTTGACAGGTAATCTGAAGGCTTTAACTGAGGCAAAAAAGAAACACTTTACTGAGTTGTTGAAGTTGTAGCCTATAGGTAAATTTAGGTTGAATTTGGATTTTTGGRCTGTGTAGGGTTTTGTCTTGTTGGTATGCCTAATTATAGCAATCCCGAAAGGTTTAGAGCAGGGTGTTAAACTCATTTTTTACCGACGGCCACATGGGTGTAATGGTGGCCCTCGAAGGGCCACTTGTATTGAACTTTGACGTTTCATGTTTAACTTTGACTAAACAGCGTTTTAACATGTCCTCCTTTAAACACTGATAAGAACTAAGTGTATGACTGACTAAATCTGAAATAAATACAGAAATATTATTAAAAGTAAAGGCAGATTTAGTTTAAGGCTGATGCTGACTTTAAAGCAGCTTATTTTCAGACATTAATACTGTGCTATCCAACTAAATTGCTCAG